AATTCCAAATTTCTCTACCATATGCCCCGACATTTCAATATTTCTTCTGTCCCCTTATCCTGCTGGGAAGCCAAAACCGCCGAAAGATCCATGCTTAATGGTTGCGGAAAATGAATTGAAGCCAGTTCGCATTGCGCGTACTGTGCTCACTAAATAGATGACAAAAATTATTGTTATTAGATCAGTCGTAGTTAACTGAAGAAACCACTGACCGGAATAAATAGGCCTTTCAAGCGTATAATAGACGAAATTGGTTTCACGATATCAGAGTGGAAAAATGCACCCGCAATATATCGACCATCGGTTTTTTTCCAAGACAAAACGTTACATGATCGTGAGAACTGCGAGAACTTTCACGCAACCTAAAGCACAAAGGAGAGCAGAAGAATATGGCCTTCAGACAGAGAAGGAATGTGCCCATTTCGTCTCGGCTGCACTGCCATCTCAAGTCAGTGCGGCTATTTTCGTATGTTACTATGATTCCGCAAATTGCAAGTCAACTAACAACAATGGACTCACCTATCCGTTACCATAGCAACACCGTACATATCAGGCTGCTCTTCCATTGCGGGTACCGTAAACGAATGGTAGCGTATCATTGGAGTAGAATGCACCGTTTTCTGTATTCGAGCTTTTTTCTTCTCGATTTCCAGCCGTTGGTATCGTGCTATTGATAATCAGAGAAGGAGAGAGGTCGAAACAGATGTAAACAATGGCCGAGGCAAAGATGCACAAGGAAAATAAATGGTCTGGCTCGGATCGCAGCAACCAATGATAACTCAGAACGATTAAATACCCAGGGAAATTTAAGTAATGAATTAATTGATTTCGTAAGCTGATATCGTTTGTACAGACCGGTGAAGTGAGAAGCACCTTTTTTGCTGTTCGATTCACTGCAGTTTAGTATGATGAAAAAACAGGTAAACCAGTTGTTTCAGTTGTGAGAATGAATAAGGATGGCTTTGATGGGAAAAAAGGGTAGAACAATATCAGGCAACAGTTATAAGATTTGTAGAAAAATGATAGTCGGTAGTACATTTACATTAATTAAACCTATGCAGGGGTATCGAAGAGGCAACTGGTGGGAAAATGATTCTATATCTCATCTCTGTCCAAGATCGGTGTGACCGAGCCGCGGAAAGAAATGCAACCAGGCATTGTTCATTCGGACGAGTTGCACGGAGGACGAGTTACTGTACACTACCACCCGACCCGTGTGGTGTTATCTTCACTCAACAACAATGACGGTGGGAGTTGATTTAAATGTACAGTGTCTTCAAAATGGTTCACTGATTCAATAAAAACATTCCTAAGGAAAACAAGCGAGAACAGGAGCTGCTGTGATAAATGATGCATTATGAATCACAACAAGACATCAGATGTCCAGCAGACAAGATAGAAAATTTGGGTGAGAACACAACAACGTTAACAGGCAGTTATTCAAAACAATTTATATAGTAAACTATAGAAACTTACAACAGGAAGCAGTCACATAAACAAGAACTTTACACGACACTTCAACTACAACAATGACTGAATCACGGAATTCAGTCACAACAAGTGTACGGCCCAATGAATTTTCCTCTCCGTTTTCAATCGCATTCTAACCCAGTGAAATGTACAAATGATCTATCAAAATACTTAAATGACAGACCAGACAACTGAGATTGAAAATGGGAAACCTACACTGTCCCCTCCCACAATTATTAGGTGTTCCGTTCAAATGCATGGAGACAGCAGTCTGATAACTAGAATATCCTAAAATTAGCCCTTCGCTTCTCCTGAGGATTGCGGGAATAGCGCGTGAAAACGCTAAGCCGAACGACTTGGAATGGACAATTGCTTTCGGTCAATTTAAACCTCATATATATATATATATATATATATATATATATGTATATACCATAACTGTGCTTTCGATCCATTTCCATGATCTCGTTGTTTTTTTGGAGCCACCAGGTATATTTGCCGTATTAATATATAATACAAGATTATGCTAGCTGACATTCTAATGAGGAACCAAACTAAAAACCTGAATAACTATTGCGATA